TTTTATCTACCCGTACAAGCACAGGCCTTCGAGATTTACAACTTGTAAAATTACCCACATATGCGTGGGCCTTTCGCATCGAACAGTCTCCACCTTGATCTAATCTCTTAACGATACAAAAATTTAAAATTTTACAAACAATAAATCAAGAGACTCCCAGGTCTCGATAAATTACATTCGTTTAATCACATTAAATAAAAATGCAACCATCAATCATATTGAATAAAAATGCAATCATTCATCATTATGAATAAAAGGCTCATGATCATCCCTAAAAACCATATAAATTCACTAATTTAATATGTTGATGTAGTAATGACTCATATTAAGTCAAAACAGCTCGTTTCTGATCAAAAATCAGTCACATGACTCGTGTTACAAGTCACACGACTCGTGTGACATGTCACACGACTCGTGTGGCTCACTCACACGACTCGTGTGAAAAATACGAAAGTGACTATGAAAAATTTCAGAAAATTTTATGTCACACGAGTCGTGTCACACCTCACACGACTCGTGTGAGGTGACACGACCAGTCACACGACTCGTGTGACTTTCTCACACGGGTCGTGTGACCCCACACGACCGGTCACACGAGTCGTGTCATTCTTCACGACTCGTGTTTTCGAATACTCTATTCGATTTTTATTCCAGATCGTGTTTTTAACAATTTTTCAAATCAAAATCTGATTTTAAAGATGCAAATTGTAACGTGGCTCTGATACCACTGTTTGGTTCGATATACTGTACGGAACATAGTTTGCAGCGGAATTTAAAATTTTATAAGTATTTATCTTATAAATACTTATTCCGTACATAAGTATAACGAGATAACAAATAAGCATCATTTAAAATCTAGTTACTTTTACTAATTTTAATTTGATATTTAATTTATAAAAATTACCTTTGTTCTTGAACTCCTTCAAAACCGACGATGTGTGAGGAAATCAATTCCCGGTTTGGTAACGATCACTTCTTGTTGTTACTCACTTTAGGAATCCAAATGTCTTCCCTCTAATCGTATCCACCTTTAGAACTTTGGTTCCGACTATAGTTTCTTCACTAGTAGAAACTACTCGGTTTTTCAAGAAGTATAGAATATATATTTATAAGGAAATTTTTCAAGAACACTTTCTTGTATTATCACTCAACTCTTTGAATGAATTTTCTCTTGGAAGAATTTTTCTCAAAACTTAGCAATTAATGTGCAAACATTTTGCACCTATTTATACTAAACATTTTAGCATAAAATAATCAATATTTGATATATTTTATTTTAAATAAAATCAGATTTTATTTAAATAATCATACCAAATATTGACTTTTAATTAATAATGTGGAGTGGTTTATAACCACCATTATTGTTTTCATAAAAATAAGATTAATTATGTGGATAGGTTAACAACTCCAAACCACCATAATTAATTTATTCTTATTAATATTTAATCTTCAATCATATTACAGATAAATAATAAAATAATAGTTCTTGAAAACATTTTTCAATACTTTATTATTTTAATCTATTCTTCCATTTCCTTATTTAATAATCTTATTATTATTTGGATTTGAAATTTAAAATTCAATTTTAACTTCCAACTATTAATTAGTAATTCTATTAATTACTTTATTAATATCCAAATTTCAATTAATCAATCTAATTGATTAATTTAATATATTTCTTTAATTGATTCCAATCAAATTAGATTTGTCAATTAATTCTAACACTTTAGAAATACTATTTGAATTTTACCTTCATTCAAAAATTGGTGTGACCTTTTAGGTTCACAATTAATACTAGTAGTGGGTTTACAACTCTTTGTAATTTGAGTTATTCATATTAACTCTTATTCTTGAATTAACTCTTTAATTCAAGAACCCACATATCATGAGAACATCTAGCAGGTAGCATGAATCTAGTATTAAGTGAATAGCGAGTAAACCTATTTCGATTACAAGTCCATACATGTAAAATTTTTTCGACATCCAATTTCCCGTTTAAATCTTTGGGTATGATTTTGTCGAAACCCAAATTGATTTAATAACTATGATTCCATTTCAAGTTTAGTAATTCGTTTATGAATCTCTATTCATCCCGCCTTGGCCAAGGACTTTGAATTACTAACTATGAAAAACATAGAAAATTCACTTATCTTCATAAGTGTAGAATCCTTTGTTGGCCACTGACAAACTTCCATACATATTAATATAATACTCAAAATATCCCTTTATACGATTGTGCTAGCAATCAAAAGGATAAATCAAAATAAAATATAATATGCACAAAGTTACCATCGTGCCTCAAGTCTAAGGATTAATCATGTACTATTGTAACATGAAAATTCTTATTCGACATGATAAACTTTCATTAAGAATTTTCATACGGTCATGTTCAGTGAACTTGTTCTTTAACAAGCACCCACATATATGTATTTGCGTCACACGCTAATGTTGATGGAATGCAACATTCTTATCTAATAAGCATGCATACTATGTGCAAGTCTTTTCCGGATTTATTCGATATCCCATCTCGAAACATCCAACGACTTGGAACTGTATTTAAGATCACAGCTTTCAAATATGTTCCATGATCACCATCTCTATGCGCAACCATATCTTATAGCTATAAGTGATCTAGGGATTTTATCTTAAGTGCAAATATATGATAAATGCTTACTCTTAAAATAAAGTAATGCCTTATTATTTAATATAATTTCCAATAGATTATATTTACAAGTAGAATACGTCCAATCTGATTGGAACGCCAGGTATACTACTCCAACACATAGAAGCACATAAGATTAAGTTGATGTCTGCTCAAGAAGGGGGCACAAAGGTCATTGACAGGGAGCACCATTTTGAGTCTTTTATTGGCACGTCGGCACCTACAGAAGTAAGCATTAACCCTCCATCGATTTCTAAAAACAAAGGCAGTGGCAAGCGAATAAAGAGTGGAAAAGAAAAGGCAATTGAAAGTTCACAAAAGAAGAGAAGGGTTTGCAAGTCGTGTGGCGAAAGGTCAGGACACAACGCACGCACGTGCCCCAAAAATTTGTAGGCGATATAATCAGGTAATATATATATATATATATATATATATTATTTTATTTTTTGTTTTTTAAAAAAATATCAAGTGCGATATATGATAACATATATATATTTTTTTTTCCCGGTGCAATTTCGTGGACGCAATGATGATAGGAACTATGCTGGAACAAGTGCTACAATTATATAGTCTCTTGAAACGATTGATGTCTGATGATTCATGCTACAAATTTTTATTATTTTTTTTAATTATTATTTTTTCGTGTCAAAGATTATAATATTATTCAGTTTTATGTTAATACTAATTGACGCGTTATCGGATTGATCGTGGTCTACACAAACACGTGTAGTGCACAAGCACTAAATAGGGAAAATGCACAGCAGGGTATTGAAATACACGAGAGTGAACGAGACAAACGCGTGAAAAAATTACTTGTATCATCATGTCTCGCAATAACACTATCATGCACACTGTATTGTATGTCGTTGCACTTTATACAATCTACTGTTGCACTTTTGTCCAAACAACGTTGCACCTTAATACTTGAACCCGCCTTGCACAACATAAAACGATAACATCGTATGGAAAAAAAAGTACCACATAACAAATTATATTTTAAACGCATGCAACATAAATGTGCACTTAACTGTCAATAAAAAGTGATAATATGCCACCGCGTGAAACGTGCATGCACTATATACAATATACCATTGCACTCTACGCATCACCTAATTGCACCTTGTATTACATTACACTGCACCTTATCATTCGTGTAACCCGTACAAGATGAAACGAACCGCTTATGCAAAAGCGTTAAACGTACGTGTAAACATGTACTTCATTGGTTATTTCAGTCCATTGTACTGGAATAGAAGTGACATTTTATAATTTTGAAGGCATATATAATAGCCCATGTGTATGCACATTAAATTATTAATAATTACACTTTACACACAATTTCATTGCACATTATACAACGAACCATTGCACTATACACATCAATCGATTGCACCTTACCAGCAGACACAATCGTGCAACAGTCGTGCAACACATAATATTCGACAACCGTGCATATTATTTCAACGCCCTGGTCCAAAAAAAAAAAATTAACAATAGCAACAAAAAAAGATATTCCACCCTGTTAACCGTCATAAAACTGACGTGGCAAAACGTACCAACGTGCATTCAAAAACTGTCATAGACGATCAACATAAAACATACAAAAATGCGTTCAAAAACATCCATAAACATGCCAGCATACGTCCATACAATGCAATATCGAACCTAACATATTATGAAACAACCTGTTACTTCACCCCCTCGGTCATAAACTTCCTTGCTTGCACGAGATTGTCATCTTTCGCATCATTGTTTGAGGCAAACGCTATCACATAGCAATACCGATTTCTCATAAGCTCAAGCTGCCCCTTGTCGGCCTTCTTCATATCGGAGTTCCAGCTTTTCGTAGTGCGCCCCTTGAACGTCTCCATGAGACGCATTGTTATAACACCAGCATCTACGACATCGAGACCTTCAGTCCAATCGAAATCAACAACCTCTGGTATTGAAAGTGCAACTGCTCGAAAACTTCACCATATGCATACGTCCTAGATATATTGCAACTAATTGTCTCTACATAAAAATAAAAACAATATGATAATACAAAAAACAAAAGACAACATAACAGAAAAAAAATAAATAAATAAACAACATATATATATATATTATTAATACACCAACATTAATAGAAGTGAAGTGTCGTACCAAAATACCAACACGTGCCAAAACAGATTTCTTGATACTGTTATCTTTACACGCACCCACACTATCTAGCACGGTGAACTTTCGAGTTTCTGGAACAATGCACACCAACCCACTGAAACCATCGGAATGCATAGGAAATACGAACCACAATAAAAAAGGACCATGTAAAACCAGTTAAGGCAAAAAAAAACTTTCATTACGATCAAGTATCAAAACACACAACTTCAAACTACAACCAATCAAGTAATCTTACTAGTGAAACTTTCTTGATGTTGTGACGGCCCGTCTGATCAAAATCTGCTTTGAACTTGTCCTCAAACTTCCTATAGCTTATATCCTTCTTTCTTTTTCTCTTGAAAAATAGCTGAGAGGTGCAAGATGTTTATCACAAGTACCATGCCAACGAATATACAATATATGATCAAACATAATTCACATAAATATATTTGGACACACCTCGTTGCATGAACATGCAGGTGATCCACGGCTTTTGAAATTCTCGTTATAGTTCATGATATTAGCCCACAAGTTAATAAGCTCCTCCCTAATTGGTGTATTCAGAGCCAAACATGTAACCACACTTTGTTTCATCGAATATTGAACGGACTTGTATATAATCACGTCACTGTTCGTCGGTACCGGCACCCAGCGAAATATATTTAGATAAATACGCCGAAAAGTAAACATAAATAAAATATATGAAAACAATATATACACATGAGTCTTACTCGTCAGCATTCTGATTCTTGAGAAGCCAATTAACCACCATTCTCTCTTTCCCATCAAGTTCTTTAACGGCATCGATCTCACGCCGCTTGAAAGGTGACTTAATTGCACTACCAGCCATAATATGCCTTTTTGGCCTACCGGTCTCCACAGCAGCATTATCGACAATGACGTCAACACTGGCCCCTGATCAACATATATACAGATACTAAATTAAACTCGTAACAGTACAAATAAAAAGGTAAAAGAACCAAATAAAAAGAAAATTACAAAAGCAAAGCGTATGATAAGCTTATACCTTCAGAGGCACGATCACCAGCCACCATGCCGTGTCCATTGTCACACGCCAAATTCTCAGTCAAACCGGTTTCATCTACAATAATGTTATAGACAGTCAATAACTAATCATTCCAATATAAATAGACAAATCACTCGTAAGGCAATCAATATAATAAGTACATCTCACGCACTCAATACCAGTATCAACCGCAACATCATTCATCGCCGTACCACAATCAGCTACAAATGAGTATAAGCCACAAATGAGTATAACCCGTAAAAAAGGTATACATCAACCTTCATATGAGATAATTCTAAACATGTAATGATAATAATAACTACCTGATGGCACGTCCACATTGGAAGGCCCGCCAGTATTGAATTCGTCAACATTATTATGACGTCCTGCATCAACATTCTCATCATCTGATGAAAGACCCAAGCCCAAGCTATAATTGGGGCCTTCGTGGTGAATCCGTTTAAAACGATCTCGACGTGCAACGGCGTCAATAACGGCATCTATAGAAGCTAGGGTATTGGGGTCGTTCCAGAACACGTCATCCACTAGCTGTGTTGGTGCACTAGTGGCAGGTTCTTCATCGTAGCTGGGGGTGTGTTGACCGGTCTTCACTTTTACATCTTCATTAGACACCCCGAGTAGCTTCTATGCAGCACCTTGCATTTTCAAGAAATTCTAATCGCTTAATAAATCTTTCGGCACATTCTCGACAAGCTGTAAAATTTCAACACCCGTCGTGGCAAGAATGCGGGCTTTTGATGCAAATTCTTGTACAAAATCCTGGAAAAACAAAAAAAAAGGAAAAAAAAACAAAAAAAACACAAATAAACGTTAACAACAAACAAGAGCTGTAATAATAAAAAAAATGTAAACAACATAAGTCATTTAAATGAATAAATGAAAAGTTTATTAATCGTATCAACACGCACGGGATCAAACGAAATTAAGGGACATAACTCGTACAGGTTGCACAAAATTACTAGACAACTTGCACATTTATGTGTATATGGTTGCACTAAAAATCCCTCACATATTAAGCATAACTCATAGCTGACAGATTAAGGGATTCTATCTAACTCATAGCTTCCAGACTAAGGGATCATAAAACTAATGCGTGAACAAGTACATAGACAACAAAGATCGAGACAAAAATATCATTATACAAACCTAAAATGTATGACATGTCCATGTTTAGCAACAGAATATAACTCATGTATCAAAACACACTAATATAACATATTCATACTCATATATCATATCATATCGCATAACATGATTCTCACAGACATTCATGCATGACACACCCTTGCATATATGGAAATACAAACCTGAACACTGAGTTCCGAAGTGCGCTTCGTATCATCACCATTAGGACTGATGACTTTCCTTTCCACACGGAGAGAAGGATCTGGAACGTGTATGTCTACATCCACATAACCCCTCCCGAACGCACCGGTTAATATCTCGGCTCGTTCTCTGTCCTTCAACAGATCATCGTTCCATGCTTTAAAAATCGAGAATGTTCTTGCAACCGTCCTAATCGATAAAACCACCTTATCGACATAAAACAACTGCATGTCGCACTCGAAAAAAAACAAAAGAAAGATAAAAAAAGTAAAAGAATAAGAAAGATGATATATCAGACAAAATGAACGCGTACGGTAGCTTAGGTAAAGTTTAAGTGATTATTAATGTATATATCAATGAGAATCAGTACTGACCGTGAGAAATAGCAGGGGTCCTGTGAAATTCTTACGTCTTCGATTATCATTCCAGGACTTCTTCGTTCCCAACGGACACAGAATCAAATACGAGCACCAGTTCATCTTAACAACACTCGATAAATCATCAAGAAGGTGTATCATACGTAAATTGGCCATTCCATTACTGGTGCTCTCAAATAAACGCGTCACTATAAGGACGATGAAGTTGCGTTTAAACCGGTCATCACACCCCTCACAACTCTGAATCATATCCAACACTTTGGTCGCTGTGATGTTCGTCGGCTTGCTGACCTTATACAGCCTGACCCAGTCCTTTAACAACTCCGACTCCGACTTTTTCTTTTTGTTCATGATCTCAATCTTTCCACGAGGAAGACCGAGTGCAAGGTATACATTGTCCTCATTCAAATGAATATTTTCCCCACCGTATAGTTGCAACTTACAATCCATGTGGTTGAACTTATCAACTAACCAATATCCCAATTTGTCAGGGGTCATTGTTATCGTCAGGTCCAGTAAACAACCGAACTGCATGTCCCGAACAACATGCTTCTGGTCATCCGACAGTCCAAACAAGGCCTTCACGAAATGGCCGTTGACGACCTTGTGTTGATGCTCGGAAAAGCATTATTAGCATCACTGCCAATGACGTGTGCTGCACTGGTATCACCCATCGCATTGGTGGCAGCCTTGATGATGTTGTCCCGACGACTTCCTACTTTACCTGTTCATAATATAATGTTATTACCAGATTCATATCGTGTAATAATGACACATACATAACATAAATGAATATTACCGTCTCGCGTCATCGTATTCTTATAACGGTTCGATTGAGGACTGACATCAGTTTCCAGCTGACTAACCATTTTCGCGCGTTTACCATATTCATCAGCTCGTTTCAGTTCCTCTACCTTCCGTTTGGTTGCTGAAAACATAACAAGACATCAACAAAAATAGATTGGAAAAAACAACAAAAGAACGACAATAATAAATGTTGACATCCTTTTCAGTAAACCGAATTAGGCGACGCTGACCACTTGATTATGTTCAGTAGAAGGATGATTGAAGTCGTATGGAGTAGGTGATGCCTTAACAGATCTCAAGGTTCTGACGTTAATTTCAAGGCAATCATTTGTCAGGTAAAATTCGTTAGGAAACCGACATCGTCGTCCGTTGACCGATATCTCACGTCGGTTATGTCATGTCGGTTACTACATGTCGGATACGACATAATGTTTATAACTGCTCGAACCGATATCTATGACTCGTAAGACCGACACCACAAGGCGGTGCCAACTCAGCACAACTCATCATTACACCTGGCCAAGTGGCACGTTATAAAGATGAATGGCAATTAGCCGCCGTTGACTATTCTTGTGTAATGATTACATATTAGATAAATGTTGTAAATAAATATAAAAGGAGAAAACAGTTCTCCAAGCCAAAAAAGAGAGAGATACACACACAATAATAATACAGAGAAATTCTACTCCCTTTCATCGTTCATATAAACCTCTGTTGATTTATCTAGAGTTTACTACAAATCCCTATCGATTATATAGTTGTTAATTCTCGTTTGACAACAGTTTGGCGCTAGAGGAAGGGCGGCGTATCACGTTTTTAAGTTAACTTTCGCTGTTAAAGCCATTTTCACGCTCGAAGCCATCATGTCGCAGTCTGGTCGAGACCACATAACTCATCCTGGCCAGAGCCAATCGACTAACCATTCTCCG